AAAAATCAGCCGGGCGTGGGAGCGCATGCCTGTAATTCTGGCTACTCGGAAGGCTGAGGCAGAAGGATCGCCGGAGCCCAGCAGGTTCAGGCTGCAGTGGCCGGGAGCAGTCACTGCACTCCAGTCTGGGCGACAGAGTGAGACTCCAACTCTAAAAAAAAAAAAATCGGTCCATATGTACTTCTTTGTACATGCTGAACACTTTGTAGCAATATTTCAAAACTGGAACATAGTTTCATGAAAATGACATATGATAATAGTCTTGGATTACTGGGGAAAACAGATAATTCATAGCAGTAAGAATCACATTTACTTTCCAAAGAGATGTATGTATTGCAGGAATCTCATTTTTATAGGTACCAACTAGTAAGAGACTATTCTCAGTTTATTAAAAAAAGATAAATAGTTACTTGTACTAAGTTAATTAATTGATAAAATGTATCAGTTGTTTTGAATGAGCCCTTTAAAAAAAGTAACTAAAATGATAAAAAGATAATTACTCAAATGAGGAACCATCATCCTAAAACTTAAACAAGTTGATACAATTTATGCAAACATACTTCTATCCAACACTGATCATTTAGTTTCAGCAAAACAACATTCCACAATAAATTAAGGTTTACATTTTCTTGGTGTTGAAGTTTTCATTGATTTTAACTTGGAAAGTTATTTTGGTTTTTGGTGTGTAAGCAGAAAGTTTATATCTGGCTTGATATTTATAGATATTTAAATGACCTTATAAGAAAAAGAATTTAAACCAACACTAAAGGCAACTATAAATTGCTGCTCAATTTTGAGAAACATTAAACAAATGAATTCCTACTTAGGTACAAACAATAATCTTGCTTTTTTTCCCACAGGAAATCTGTAACTGGAAAGAGACGTTAGTAAATCTTGGAACATTTATAGGTGATAGTCCCACTAGAATGAAGAAATTATATCTACAACAAACCAAATATCCTCATATATATATATATATATATGTATATACACACACATATATATACATATATATATATACACACACATATATATACATATATGTATATATATATTAGTTGGTTTCCGTTTTTGTTTAGAGCCTGTTTTCTCCTCAGACTAGGGAGTTCCATCAGGGCAGATGGCAAATCAGTTTTGTCCCTTCTGTATTTTTAAAAGCAAGCACTAAGCCTTGCTCATAGGAGCTTCTCAGTAACTGATGCAGAATCACAAAGCTTTTGAGTTTCCATTTTTAATCTGTGCCCTAACATTTGGATCAGGTGTGAATATGTAATAGCAAGGCCAGTATGAGGGCATATTTAAGAAGAAAAGTGGAATAAACTGAGCCCTCTCCTAAATCGATCAGTGTGTGTCTCTCTCTCTCTCACACACACACACAGAAATATGACTAATAATTTCACCTAAAACAGTCTTAAATTCAATAGAGGACCTGGGAAAGGGCAAGAAAAACATAAGGCCGACTATTCTTAAGAGATATTATTGGCCTTTAAATTTGCAGGTCTAGGGTCACAGAAAAGGGGATATCTGCTTGCTCCTTAATCCTCTCCTTCTGACCCATCTAGAAACACTCAATGCTAAATTCAAATCCTCACATCGCAATGAAATTTTCTTTGACTGTTTTATCCATTTCTTCCTCTAATAAATTCTCTAAGTACTTTTTTATCTGTATGACTGTTAGATATTCAGTTGTGGCCGGGAGCCGGGACTCCAGCCTGTAATCCCAGCACTTTGGGAGGCCAAGACGAGACGACTGCCTAAGCTCAGGGGTTCAAGACCAGCCTGGGCAACTTGGTGAGACCTCATCTCTACAATAAATAAAAAAATACGCCAAATAAGCTGAGCGTGGTAGCGTGCGCCTGTAGTTCCAGCAGCTTGGAAGGCTGAGGCAGAAGGATCACCTGAGCCCAGAAGGTCGAGGCTGTGGTGGCCATGAGCATACCACTGCACTTAAGCCTGAGCAACAGAGTGAAACTCCAACTCAAAAAAAAAAAAAATAATAATAATAGTAATAATAATTCCAGTCAGGATGGCCATCATCAATAACTTAAAAAACAGTAGATGCTGGAGAGGATCTTGGGGGAAAGGGAATACTTTTACACTGTTGGTGGGAGTGTAAACTAGTACAGTCTCTATGGAAAACAATATGGTAGTTTCTAAAAGATCTAAAAATCGACCTCCCATATGACCCCGCAATCTCCCTACTGGGAATACACCGGGAGGAACTCAAATCATTCTGTGAAAAAGATACCTGCACACGCATGTTTACTGCAGCATTATTCACGATAGCAAAAACATGGAACCAACTGTGCTGCCCATCAAAAGAGGACTGGATCAAAAGAATGTGGTACATATACACAATGGAATATTACACAGCCATAAAGAAGGACAAAATTATGAACTTCGCAACAACTTGTATGGACTTAGAGGCTATAATAAACTGAGTGGTCTATCAAGCAAAGAACCAAGTATCATATGTTCTCACTCATAAGCAGACCTTGAACAGCTATCATAATACTATAAGAAAGGGATTGGCAGTAGTGGGAAACTGCCAGGAGAGGAGGGGCACATCTCATCAACAAGTGTACCTGCATAATGAACATTTGTGTGCCTAACCCTAGATTGTACCCCACATATTAAAATAAAAATGTTTTAAAAAGCATATTCAGTTGTGTATTACCTTTGTCATTTTGTTACTGCAATAATCAGTTAGAATGTGGTGGGTGCCTACAATCTGTGAAGCACAATACAAACATTATTTTGATATTTATAAGCATCTGTCAAGGTCATATGACAAACAGTTTGCTGATATGAACAGTGTGGTTTAAGATTAGTCGAGATATCATAGTTATAAAGTGGCAGAGTCAGCACTCCAAGTTTATTTGCCTCTCAAAGCAGAGCTCTTTCTTACACTACCCCATGAACAGAAAGCACGTGTCTAATGTTTTGTATTTATCACACGGTCTTTCAGTGAGAACTTACACTTTTCTAATATTCTTATACTGAAATAGCCTACTAAAAACAACAACAAAAAAGATATTTATTTATTAATTATATTTTAGATACACTAATTATAAAAGAGAGGGTCTAGTTTTTAAATGCCCAAAGCGATTGATATTTCCACAGGAAATGAAATCTCAAGAAAAAATAGGGTATAGGTCTGTAATACAACATGAAAAGCCCACTGTTTTTTCTCACATCTACAAATAAACACAGATAAACTGTAATGAATGCTATCTGCATATGTTTTTAAAACAAGTTATGAAATTAAAAACTTCAGAAATGCTAGCCATAAAATATGGTAATGTGATTTCACACCAATGCCACAGTCATTCAGTAATTGCAAAGTCAAATAAGACACAGAAAAAAAGCTTCAATTTATGACCACATTTCGAATTCTTTAAAGTCCAATTTAATTTATTCATATTAATTAAGCATCACTGTGCACCACTACCACATTGAGCTTTAGTGTTACGAAGTGAATAAAATGTTTCCTGCTCTTGAAGAATGCCAAGTCTAAAAAAAAATCACAGCTGGGATTCAGCACAGTGGGCCAAGTGCCTGCCCTAGGAGTAACCAAGGGCTGAGCCAGCATATGGGGAAACAGAAAGAGAAGAGAAAGCATGCTACATACAGGAGCATCACATGTAAACTGACAAAGTGAGTACAAGTACACTAAAATCCACTCAACATGTCCGTGAAAAAGGCACAGCAGGGTTTCCATGCCTCACACATATATGCTCATTCTTCTAAGACCATAATGACCAATTTTACATGCACTGGCCTCTCTGTCTCATCAACCAATACATTTTGCTCCAAGTCAGAATGACAGTCCCTCTCCCAGATTACCATATTCCAAATTGGTTGGCTGGACTCACTCTATTTTATATTCTCTTCTAATTTTGGAACTGGGACTCCATACAAACAGTGATTATCCTCTGCTTGGGTGACCAGTTGAAGACTGATAGAAACCATTTGTCCACTGGTTTGTATTTATATTTGCATTTGGTCTAAATCTCCATTCAAAATGAGTTTCCTTTTTCTTCAGGACCCTGCAGGATGGATCTCATGCAGATAGTTATCAATCTTGTTATAGGAATGCCTGAAGCATTCTGCATCTCTCAGCTCTCCGTCCATTCAACCTCAGATGTCAACCCTATGGCAAGCCTCCTGCTGTTATTCACTGTTGGCACTAGGCTCAGACAATACAGCTTCTGGGATAGATGTTACTCACCACTGACAATATCTCATTTTGGGGTCCCTTATCCCATTCAGGCTTAATTAACAGAGCCCTTGATGCTACTGATAAAACGGCAATGACTATGTTGTTGTGGCTGATATAACCACTCCCAAATCTCTTTGTATGTTGAAACACATGGGTATTGTGTTTTCTTTAGCAAAACAATATAAAATGTTAACATGCTGACTCCATTGTTTGAACTAGAAACATTCTTTCTAGGAAGAAAGTGTACTATGTAAAACTAAAAACACATATGCAGGCAAAAGCAAAAGAAGAAATAAATAAAAAGCATAATTAGTAATTCCTAAAATTTTCAACCTTATTACTATTATTTTCTATCAATCTTATCTCAGAGTGTTAGCAGTCATATATTTTTTAAAAACTTATTTTTTTAGTTTGAGAAAATTTGGGAGTTTGGGATGTTGAAATGGAGAGGAACTTATCTATTACTTTCAATTTTTTCTTGCAAATAAGATTAAATGTTATGGTTAGTCAATGTTTATGGCTGCTTCAGTCTAGTTTATAGGACATGCAGTGCTTTGAGAGTATGCACTGAGAATCAATAGACTCGAGTAATGAAAAAGAGGGAAATGGATGTCTGTAGAGAAATACAGAGACTTTAATTCATCTTTAGTTTGATGATACACTAGACCTTTAATTTATCTTTTTTTTTAATCAATATTTTTTATTATGATGCTGTGGGGTACAGTTAAGGGTTAGG